GCTGTGATGAAATGCAGTTCCACCAGTAGTCATATAGAGAAAGAAATAAATGCCGCTGAAATGGAAAGACAAGTGAGTTTGGTTTCCTGGCAACATCGGTCTGGGTGAAGGGAATTAGAGAGTGGGATCGGGAGGAGTGGGATCCCCGACTCGCTTCATTCTCCTACAACGGCTCCCTCCTCTCCACAGAATATCAACCTCTTTGCCCAGGAGAAGCTGTCACTGAGCAGGCTTGGGTATTTGTGTTAACGAATTTGCCTGCAAGCAGCTTAGCTGAATTCTTCAACGACACATTCCGCGGATCACAAAGAGCAGAGGACAAGAAAAACAGCTCCTGGCGTACAAAGTAAAGATTTACCTGCAGAGGTCTCTGTGTCTGGTGTCAGGAGAATCAGGAAAAATGACCACTTCTCCTAGAGGGCCAAGAAGACTTGAAAATGTAAATCCCATCCACCAACCTCCAGTCCCATCCCCCACCCTAAATGACATGTCTCCAAATTCTCTTTTAAAATGCTTATTGTATTCCAACTTCACACCTATCAATACATTCACAAATGATATTCATAATTACTCCTTGAGCTTTTCTGCAAGGGAACAACTGAGGGGTTACATTTTAACTTGATCACATAAATTATCTGTTCATCCAAACCGATTAACCAAGAGGATTTGAGGGTCACTCCACTGAGTCTGTCTGTGTTGTTGATTTTCGAATCTTTGGTTTTAATTTCCTGAACCAGTTGGTTTTTACTGCAGGGCTTCCTGCCATTAGCTCCAGCTCCGGAAGAACGCATGCGCCAATTAGAGCATCAAAGCCCTCTCCGCAGAGCTTGTTTCCATAAAATGGAGCGGATCACAAACAATAACAGTTCTCCAGAAACTGCCTCCCTGCTACAGAACTCAACCCCCAAACCCAGACGAACGCCACGCTACACCCTAAGCCACCACTACCATTTTCTTGGCTTACAATTCTTTTGGAGTATGAATAGTGGGTTCTCTATGGACTGTTAGGATTTTTAATGTAATGCTACTGTAGTTGAGTTTCTGGCACTGAACAATTGCTGATTTCCTAAAGTTATATTACTACCAATCTCTGACATCATCAACAAAAGGAATTCATGGGATTCTTCCTCAAATATGCGGTTTTAAACATTTTAAAACATAATTTACAAAGCTAGAAAAATTGAATTATAATATATCTCCTCATATACAAGATGTGAATAAAATAAAATGACTTCTTTAAATATACATGCTAGTTTCTGGTAATTAGAGTAACTTTTTTTTCCCGTTAGCATGAGACATTTACAATAGGACACAAAGAAAAACACAGGAGAGCTATAGATTCATTCCAGTACACCAAAACCTAGGCCAATCTTGTATCAGAAAAACTTAATGTAGAGGCAGCAGGAATGTGAGTGGCTTCTAGTGACAGTTATCTAGAGCAGGGAGTGAGGATAAGGGTTGGCTTTTTGTTTTGAGGCATTTGGAAGGGTGTGTGTGTGTTTAAAGCTACCAGGAGAAACTTTTTGCAATGCTTATATTTCTTTTATCTTTCCATATCCACACAATCCAGAATCAAAAATTGCTCACTTTTCTTCTTCTCCAAGAGAAAAGCACAATTAAAGAGATAAGGGAGCATATGTTTGGAAAACAAAAACCTGAAAGGGCACATAACCCTGAGCTTTCAGGATGGGCTTAAATCAGGACGCAGGTCAAAGATTCCCAAATTAATTCAGGAAGTAATGGTCACGCATTTCTCAAACGCAGATGTCAGAATAACTTAAGTGATTTACTGCTGAGCCCTTTAAAAGAGAGAGAAACTAGGAGAATGTGCAGTTCTTAAACTTGTGCATTGTTTAGCTCGGAATTAGGCTGGGGAGGTGTAACTTTATGGTAGAGGAAAAGAAGGCAGAAGGATGAAGGTATAGGAGTATATGCAAATGTTTCTTTTTGCCATGAAAGAATTCCATTCACATCTGGCTATATTCTCTGCAAAGATGAAACTGCCCAACTGACACAAAATACAACCAAACATCTGGCCACTAAATATTATCCATTTTCCAAGAAGGAAGTTCCTTCTAGTTAGCAAGTGGATTCGCTTACCCTCTACTAGTGATGTGAGCAGGGTAACGTTGGCAGCTTTACGTCTCCCTGCAGGCAGATTTAATCCTATTTTGTCCAGTTTTTCTCTTAAAGATCTTCCTCCATTTTTAGACTTCGCCCTGTTTCACAAATATATGCGAGAAAGGGATTTAGAAAACATTGGGTTGCTGTGCACCACATTAAAATCATTGTGAAAGCTTCCTAAAATGTGCTTTCAAAAACTGAGAAGCTTGGCCCCAAGACATTTAAAGGGGGAAACCTAGGAATAGTACAGAAAGTTCATAGGAGATCAACGCCTGTTAAACTGTAAAGCACCCCCTATGTTCAGTTATTATTGCAACTCTTGTGGCAGGTTGGAAGGTCTGATTTCCCAACTCTCTAAAGAAGAACCACAAACAAACAAACACAGCCCCATCTCTAGGGTTTGAGGTATTCTTGAGTTCAACTGATTACTGTATATTTTCCCTGCTGTTACAATCACACAAATCCCAATGGGGTCTTTAAAACTGTCTTTGCAAGATACGCTGTTAGGTTGTTCCGAGTAACCAAAGTTATCATCACTCACGTTTCTTGCTCTGGCTCTAGCCCCAAAGGGAAATTCATTTCGCCAACTGTTTACGTGCCATGTCACCAGCCTAACTGGAAATGTCAAAGGCTGATATCAGCCCTTAAAAGTTTCACTGATTTCAGAGACAATGGAGGCAGTTCTAAACAGATGTCTAAATAGAATCCCATAATCAGAAAGTGGTTAAGATAAATTGTTTAAATAAAACAGCAAATTAATTAATTTCAGATTTTATTCCCTACTCAAGTGCTCTTTAATTGTGTGGATTAGATGATACTCCCCTAGGTAAACAGTCTCCAATATTGGGGATGGGGGAAGGGAAGGAAAAAGCAGAGGACAAGGAAAAGATCTGTGTGAGTGAAAGATTACAAAGGGAAAGCAAAACGACTGTGCAGGAGGAAGAAAATACTAGAATGGCTGATGTTAAAACCTTCCAAAAAATGATCTTTATAGGCTTTGTGTGGGATATAGCCACTAGAACGGAACTGCGGGTCCATAAACAGATAGGTAAATGAATAACCGTCAAAACAATGAAGTTCTCAGTATTATTAAAGAAAGAGAAAGAGAAGAAACCTATTATCCGGGTAAGTTCAACACAAGCCCCACAATTCACAACGTGCAGTGGAATCCTAGGGGTAGGAAGCCCACAGCAGGGAGAAACCTGCCCTGAGGGAAGGTGCTTTACCTTGCTGACCCTTATAGAATCTTATCTACTAAATGGATCCCTCAGACCTCGCAGGGGTGAGGTAAGAATCCCTGGCCATGTATGTAACAGATGCATTCCTTGGTAGTGACTACACACAATGCACGTAAACATGCTCGCACGCAGCCTGGCACACATCAGGGCCCCAGTAAGATGGAATCATCATCATATGCAAACGCCTATAGTACGGGGGGTCGGGAGGTGAGAGCGAAAGGGGGGCATGGCGTGTGGACTCAAGAGGACACCATTCTCTTCCTTTAGTTAAAATCCATTCTATTAAAACCCTATACAAGGCACGACCGGTTATCCTCGGAGACCCTACTCAGAGGGGTAAGGCAAAGCGAGGAGCCTGAGAGGAACTTTTCCTGGGCTTGCAAGGTGTGCGCGAAGAGGCAAAAAGGTGGCTGCACGGCGCCCCGCGGCTGCAGCGGCCGGGACTGAGCCCGCGGAGGAGCGAGCTGCGCTTGCGCAAAGAGGAGGGCGGGGCGGAGGACCCCGCGAGCGCGCGGCAGCGAACGAGGCGCGCACCAAAACACGCTCGCGAGAAGGCAGCGGAGAGCGCAGGCGCGCGCCGAACGCCCGCCGCCCCCACCCCCGATCCCGCCCACTTGGCTCTACGCTCCTTTCTCCGCCCCTTTCCCTTTCCCGCGTAGGGAGGGCCGCTGCGCGAGGCCGGTTTGCGTCGCCGCCGCCGCCGCCGGCGGCGCAAGCGCAGTGGTTCCCCCGGCCGCAGGGCGGGGCGGGCGGGGCCGTGCCGGGCCTCACCTCCGGAGCACTCCGCCCAGCAGCGACGCGTTGAGACACTCGGGTGGTGAGAGCCGCCGCTGTACTTCCGCCACCGTGACCTTGTACTTCGAGGTGGAGCTGAGGAGCGAGAGGCGACCCGGAACTGAACAGAAGACTTCGTTGGGGTTCACCACGCCGCCGAAGAGGTTGTCCTTGTTAATAGGGATGGCGGAGACTGCATTGCTGTTGGACTTGGACAGGGACACGGGGCCTGCGGAGACAGAGGGGAGGCCGCGTGTTGGGCGTCATGGATCACCCCCAAATCCTGCCCGACCCCGGCCTTCATCCCGGCCAAGGTCGGCTCCCAGGCTTTGGGCCACAGTCCCCGCTTTTCTGTCCGCCTCTGAAATTCTGTGGCTCTGCTACTTCCCTTCCTCGGCCTCGAGCCCCTCCCTGCCTCACGCGGCGGCCTGGAGGCGGCCCTGCCCTCCCCCAGCCAGCCTGGCCAGCGTTTCTGCCTTGACCCTTTCCCCTTCGCCGTCAAAGGTGCTCTCTAGAGATGGGTGGTGAAATTGGTGACCCCTGAGGCTCTGAGCATCCTAGCGGAGTGGGCCCCAGATGAGGTCCAGGAGCACGGGTTCAGGGTTCAGAGAGGGAGTTACATTTGCAAACCGAGAGCAAGTTACTTGTACTTCAGGAGTTTTGCTGGGTGAGGGGTTTAGTGTCGGGGAAAAACTGCTTCAAAGACCTATTATTAAAATCAGCCGAGAATTTAGATGGCTAAACGCTGTAAACGAGCGTTTTAATTCAGGCACCACGCTGGGAAGTGGTGGATTTTGTTGTCCACACCACACGTCCAGTCTTTTTGATAAATAGGCCCTTTCCTATGTTCAATTTTGAAAACGTCTCAGTTTTGGAGATCCATTCCAAGGCCCGTTTTGAACTGCGGAGTGGGGAGGGAAGAAGAGGCCTACAGTGGAATACTAGCAATGTGCCCTTTTGTTAAGTAAATATTAATAGCCCCTCTCTGCTAAAGCGCCTTTATGGGGAAAGTGAGATATATATACTTCCTAGTTAAAACCATAAGCTCTTTATTGTTGGACTACCATTGTTAGGAAAAAAATAGAAGACCTGCAGAAAGTATACTAATGCATTACGTTTCTCAGCATCAATGTAATTCAGATGCATCCACAGTCATTTAAGTACAGTATGCATTGTATTTCAAAATTCCATTTGGAGACATAATGTGCACACAGTCTCATCAGTGTTCCGTATGCGTTCTTTAATGGGGATATGCTAGACGTATAGGGAGGTGGGGGGCTCTAGGTTTTGGATAGATCACTTGTGACATTAATAGCTCTGGGGAGGCTAATAGAGACAATAGGAGTTAAACGAACTCTTGAGAGATTACTAATAAAAGAGCCAATTATCATGTCGACTTGGAAAGAGCATCTCTTAAGATTTATCCCTTGCACATCTAATTTGACGTGACAAAGACTTCACAGATGCAAAAATGAAACTTTAAACTAGCTAACAATATACTGATTGGGGTTAGAAATGAGAACAGTTTTATATAGCATCGTCCTCTGGTGGTGCCTAGAATCCTGAAATGTAACATTGCCACCATAACCAAAAAAAAGCTGCTACCAAGAGTGAATAGCATTTAATTCAGTAAACTTTATTTCTACTCACTAAACACAATACAAATTACAAATCCATTCAAATCACTTGACACTTTTCTAACAATTTCTGCTCTGAACAAGTACGGTAATTATCCTCACATCTTCAAGATACTAATTTTAACCAAAAGCTAAAATTTTGTTAACCTAATTCACAAAGTTCCAAGACCCTTAAACATCTAACAAGAAACTAAATTGAAGAACATGAATTTTTTTTCCCCTCTGCTAAAGAGTGCTTTTTATCATCTGTCCTTACATTAATGTTAAATTATTTGTACTATTTTAGCATTTTACACTTCTTAACCCTCATCCACGCAATGGATTAAACTATTAAACTGTTTCAAAATTGAAATGCCACTTCCAAATCAGTTCCACTACTGTACATTTTGTGTGTTTGTCCAAATATCATTAAACTAAATTAAATGGTTAAATCATGAGTCAGAACAAAGCTAGCCTGTTGGCATTACCAACATACTGAAAGCTGATTATTTAAGCATTGCTGTTCTGTGCCTATCTATTTGCTAATTCTGAGCCTTTAGGAAATCCTATTTGGAAAAAATAAACACAGCTCTGCAAGTTCTTTTAAATAGCACTCTGCCTGTAAGGACATGCTTGGAATGCAGAAGGAAATGGCTTACCTTTCTTAATTACAGTTTGATCTGGGATGTTAATACCCGGGTCTTCTACGTGCTGCAACAAAAGGATACACATGGATGTAAGTGTATAATCAAAACAAAAGGAAATGAATATTCCCTCCAAGATGGGAGGAGGGGAAGGTGCAGAATCAAAACTCCCCCTCCCGTATAATGACATTTATATGTAAACATCTCATCTTGGCTTATTGGAATTTGGGGCTTTGCAACTCAAGAGGTTTCACTGCACGCCCATGGCCAATTTCTCCTCCTCCAGCAAATGATCCATGTTTAAAAGGTGTGGAGATGAGGAATAAAACTTTCTTTGGAAATTAAATCAAGTGTTGGAGCACCTAATCATTCTCAAGTCAGTTCAACATTTAGAAATGTACCTAGCTTTAGATTGGCGCCTCAGCGGCTTCTGAATTGAGCAATTCCAGTGTTCAGGCAGCGAAAGCCAGGGAAACACAGTAGAAATGACGGGCGGAAGTAACAGGAGAGTGTTGGAAAAGGTTTAGGTAGTATAATAAAGAGCAAACACACATACACACCTTTATGGAAAACTCCAAATAAATTTTTAGAAAGACTACTGCCTGAGCCTGGATGTGACAGGAATATGAAAATGATTAAAAACAAAAAACCTTTGAGCTTGCTTTCCTGTTGTCCAGCAGCAGGTTTGTCGTTGGTGTGGGGTGTTTTTCTTTTTCTTTTTTTTTTTTTTTTACAGATGGATGGGTATACGTGTGTGTGCTGGAGTCAAAACGTGATTAGAAAGTAAAATGAAATCATGTTTTCTAATGCAGAAACTGACAGGCAATATAATGTCTGGCTGTGTTTACAAATTAGCACCAGGGCTGCTGAGATAGAAGATTTTGCAATCATTACCAAACACAGGCATTACCATTTAAAAAACTATTACTTCCTTCTCTAGTCTTTGTCCAACAATAATACTGATTCGAACATTTTCCATTCTGTCTTGGATTTATGCTCCTGTTAATTGTGCCTGATCGCAATGATTCCGGGTGGATGGTACTAAGTTGCTTTATTACAGGTTTTATTATACTCAATGCTCTCATTTGTAACTTGCCTAAAGTGCTTCTGGATTTAAGTATAATTAAATTGAGAAATGTTCAGAAATGACTACTGCTGCAGTTCTTGTGTTTTTAACTATATGGGGAAATATGATCCCTTTATGCATGCACCCTAAACCCATAAAGTAAATGTAGTGTGGCATAATACTTTTATTTGTGTTATTTCTAGACCTTGTCCATACAGGGAAGACTGTTAAGTTTAAAACCCCACTGAGATATTAATGATTAAATAATTTTCACCATCGATTTGATTTTCTTAAATATTTAGCAGTTATACTTACTAAAGGTTAACTGTTGCAGCAATGGGAAAAAATTGAAAACAACCTTTTTCTTGACCCAAATTCCTTTGAAAGAATTTTTTTCTTAAAAGATGGGGGAGGAAGAGGGAAGAACACCAACTGGGTTTCCTTGTTTTTATTTCGTCTTTTGGTTAATTTCTGGTACTGACCAATTTTGCCACAAAGAGTGAGTATACAGGTGTTAAGAATTCACCTTGAAATTTTTGCAAAGTAGAGCAATTCTAATTCACAGTAGTTCCAAAAGCTTGCAACATTATTTTGCAATTCAAATCTTTTCAAAGAACAAGCAAGGAAAAGATTCAGAGTGCTTTGGGAAAGGGAACTAAAACGATCATAACTCCCATTTCATGTTTAAATTGCTCTTACATAAATTAGTGCTCCTCTCACTTCCAAAACAATGCACTGTTAAGTATCAGTTCCTAAAAACATGTAAGTATGAACACACACATACAGACATACAGTGCTCACTAAACCTTATACTAGATCAAGTGCCTACTTTCCTGCCTTCCATGCAAGGGCTGCTAAACATAACCAACAAATTTCAGTGACTAACTGGGCCAAATGAGAGATGTAATAAATTTTCTATTTTCCTATGGAACTTAAATAATGTTTTAAATTCACCAAGCAAGCAGGTAAGTTCATCTGACCATTTTCCTTACAATCTAATGTAGTAATCATTAAACTGTCAACGGACATACTGCTGCAATATTTGATGCAGTAATTTGAAATAGCATTTTAGCAAAAATCACATCCAGATACATTTCCTCTCCAAAGAAAAGCAGCTTTAACAGAAGCCTTTACAGCTTTAATAAAATTATTGGCTTGCTCTAATTCCATTTCAGGAAGGTTGTGAGGAAACCATAAATATATAGAATTGAAGCAGAGGTACTGGTTTAAGTTTAATTCCAGAAAGTATTTTCAAATTATCAATAGCCTGGTTTGCATTGTAAATAGTAAATGTGCTAATGCCATGCTTCTTTAGAAATTATTTTAAACTGTATTTATTGATAACTAAATTAGAACTCAATGTATTACCCAATAGTTTCAAAACATTTAATTTAATATGGGGTGTAGCAGGTTCTGATAGGCGTTGGGAACCCAGCTAATGATTTATGAGGTCACCACTTAGCACCCCTAGGAAGAGAAGAAGTCTGCATTTTAATGTCCCTCTGCTTGTTGGATTTGCTACTTAGTTTTTCTTTAATCAGGATAGGGTGTACACATAACTTTCAGGTTTCACTTGTGCTTATAAAATCCGGTTAAAATGATCTTAGTATGTCTTTTAAACTTCCTTTTACATTTTGAGGACATTTAATGAGCTCTTTTGGTTGCATTTAACATCATTCCCAGGACAGGGAGAGATCTCCACGCCAGACTCAGCGGTGGAAGTAGATCTTTTAGCAATTGAGACAGTTTACTGTCGTCGAGAGGAAGATATTGTTAATGGTGACATTGGTCTGATTTATCTGTGTTGGTGGAAATGGTAATGCAGGCATTGTTTGAGGGAGCTCCAGGAACCATTGTTCTGGGGCAGAACTCGCAACTACTTTGTGTGGTTCCTCAAAACGTCCCCTCCTCCCCGCCCCCAAATAAAATGTTTTTAAAAGGAAATATTGGGGAGTACCCGGGCCCACCGACTCTATGTTCCAGGTATCATTTTTGGGGGTAGGCGAGAAGGGGGCTGTGTTCTCTCCCGCGCGGTTCGCGCGGCCTCTTACCGGGACCTCCTCGATGGCATGAGGTAAGGAGTGGATCGAGAGGTCTCCGAGTCCTGAGCTGAGCGCGTGTGGGCCGTGCAGGAGGTCCTCGTGCCGCCTGTAGTCCCTGCGAGGATCCAGGCCCGACAGCTGGTGAGGCAGCCCCCGGTGGGTGTGCAGGAGCCCTGACTCCTGGCTCTGCCTCTGACCGGGCCAGCCTGGGTGCTGCGGCTGCGGCTGGGCGTGCAGGGGGTTCAGGCTGTAGGGGTCGTTGACGTGGGAGTAAGGATCTTGCGACTGGGGGTAGATAGGCTGGTAGGGTGGGGGAAAGTAGGGGGGCTGGAAGTCGGCATTGGGGGTGTGGGACAGCGGCGGGGCGCTTGTGTAGGGAGATTGACCTACAGTGCCCAGCTGGGGCAACCGTGCCGTCCCGTTGCTGGTGCCGTCGTGACGGTCCTAGAAGAGAGCGAGAGGAAAGGTAAAGAACAAGGAATCAGGCGTCGAGCTACAATTATCCACACAAAATCCACTTGACAAGCCTGCGTGGGAAATCCCCCGTTCCCGTTGGCTGGCCGCCGGGAAAAAATCAGCTCTAAGTTCTTTTCAGGAAATACCCTTAAGTGAAACAGACCCTCCAACAACGCAGAGGAACTGTATATGTAGAGGCACAAGAGACTATTCAGGCGTTTCTTTCAAAGAGGGGAAGAGAGAGAAAAGGGTCTCCTGGAACACAGCCCATTACACTGCAGCGTGAAACCTCTCTTAAGCAAAATTAAAATTCCTCCTAAATACTAAACAGCAGAAGCGGCCTTTTCTTTTCCCCCTATTTGAACCTGTCTGCCACTGCGTTATTGTTTATTATCTTGTATTTATTTGGAGAGAAAAAAATCATAAACGTTCAAAGACTATTACCGTTTCATAACTATTTAAATAGAAACATATTTCGCAGAGGGGCTGTAACGAAAACACACGTTTAAATTACCAGCTTAAAGAAGGTTTTAACTGCAGGATCGGGGTCTGTCTTTTCCGCTTCCTCAGTTAGGAGCCTTTCTCTCGACAGAGTGGATTTATGGTTTGGATAGGGAAAGGGGGAGGTCAAGTCAAGGTTTAAAATAGAAAGATTCAGCCTTATTGGGTTTAAAAGAGAGAGGTGCACCCCGGGGCGGAGGCCCCCCGCCCCTTCCACCTCAGCCCCAAAGGGCAGAAGAAACGCCTGACTGTAGGTTTCTCTATTGCAATTCGCTTGCAAAACAAGCGAACAGAGTTGATTCCAGGGACGGCGAACCCTCGGCGGTTCAGCCGCAGGCCCCGAGGATAGGGGGCACACCGGGCTGCACTTTTCCTGCAGACAGATTAAGCATCAAATGTTGAGAACATCTCGGGAACAAGTGAAGACGCAAGGAAATCAAGATGAACGTGGGGAAAAACACGCCTTGGGAAGCAGCGGCGAGGTAGGTCTGCGTGCTCGGAGAGGTCGAGCGGGGACTGGGGTAGGAGGTAATGCATTCGATTTAGGGATGAAAAAGAACGAGAGAAAGGCGGAAGGTGGGGTGGGGGATGCAAATGGAGGGGGTGTCCTGAAGGAAAGCTGAGCGTGAAACCCGAGGTTTCGGGCAGCTCCACGGCACCAGGTTTCCAGAATCGAATTCCTAAAGAAACAGGAACGGGGTGGGGGTGGGACTCACCATAGCTGAAAAACTGTGAACTAACATCTGCGAAGAGTCTGGGGTAACGAGTCAGGGTGGAAAAAAACAAGCAAGCCTGGAGCGCCCGGCTGCCCCGCCGCCCGAGCGCGCCCCACACAAAAGGCGCCGAGAGCCCCGCGCGACCCAGGACTCCAGTCACGGCGCCGACGCTCCCCGGAGCGCGGGAGCCCGGCTCGGATCCATCCGAACTTGAACCACCGATTCGCGCGGCGCCTTCAGCTGGTCGAACCCACGGTCTCTATCCTGCCGCGACTGGTTATGATTCAAAGTTCTTTAAAAATGAAAAACCCCAAAAAAGGAAAAAGGAAAAAGTATGTGTAAGTGTGTGGGTGCGTGCGTGTTCCTTAATCCGTGTCTCCCCCTCTTTTCTTAGCGGCGGCTTCGCTTGAGCTTCTAATAACCGCGCTGGGCAGCGTTCCTGGAGCCTCCTAATAGCAGATATTCATGACTATTAATATTACACGAATACTTAATAAGGGAAGAATGCCTGGAAATCGAGCGTGAAGCGGAGAGGCAACTCGCGCCGGAGCCGGCTCTCAATGCAGTCCATTGACGGGAGTCTCAGTGTAGCAAATCGGAGTGGGGAGAGGGAGCGCGAGAGACAAAAAGCGGGCGAGAGAGGGAGCGGGCGAGCGCGCGGGGGGCCGCGGCGCGGCGTCTGGCGAATCACAGGGAAGGGGCAACATTTTAAAAGGTTGCAGGGCATGCAAAAGTGAAAGAGAAAGAGGCAGAGGGAGACCGAAGGAGAGAGCGCAGAGAGGGAGAATGTGTCTGCGTGCGTGTGTGAGAAAGAAAGTGTGGGCGAGGGAGAGGAGCCCGGGGTGGGGAGAGGGGAGGGAGGGAAGGAGGGAGAGCCCGAGAGGAGGAAGGGAGGAAAAGAGGGAGGGAGGGAGGAAGGGAGAGGGGGAGGGAGGGAGGGGGAGGGGGCCCAGCCAGAGCGCACGGAGGGGGAGGCCGCGGGGGAGGGGGAAGGGGAGAGGAAGCGAGCGAGGACAATCAGACCTAAAAGGCTGGGGCAGACCTCGGGATGCAGCGGGGGTCGTGCGTAGCGGGCAGGAGCTGCTGGGGACCGCGTCCGGGCGCTCGTGGGGCTCTCGGCGCCGCAGGCGCTTCCCGGCCCTCTCTGGCCTCGGGCTCCGCCGCTTCGCAGCCGAGTCTGGGACTCGGGACTCAGCTGCCCGCTGCTGCGCGGCTCCTCCATGACCCCGCGCCCCGCCCGGGACCGGCCCTCTCGCTGCACTGGCCCTCTCCTCGGCTTCCTCTTGAGCTTTCCTCGGACAGGGGCACCGTACGCTCCCCGGCCACCGTCGCTCTGCCTTCGGCTCTCTGGGGCCGGGGATTCCGGATCGGAAGCCGGGATGCGGGCCGGGGCGCGCACAGACGCTAGGCGGCCCAGCCCGGGCGCCGCTGGCACGGGCTCGCGGCTCCCGGCAAAAACCCGTCCGACTGGCTGGGCCACTCCCGCCTGACGCCCCCCCAGATGACACGACTAGCTCTCCAGGCGTGCTGCCTTTGCCAGTCTACCCGCCAGGTTGTCAGAACAGGCGGCACCTCGTCTTCTGCGTGTCCCTGCAGAGCCCCGGCACAATCAGACTGCCCCAAGCCAACTCCGAAACCCGAAATCCCCGCTCCGGCGCTTGCCCGCCGCCGCCAAAGTTGTGGAAACAGCTTTGACTTTATTCTCCTCTCTCTCTCCTTTCTTATCTTTTTTTGCCTCGCTTACACACGCATTCACACTTGCCCCCACAGGATCCCTCTATGGGTGCAAGTTCATCCCCCACCTAGCCACCCACCCCACCCAGTCGGCGCCTAGAGCCGCTCGGAGGTTCGGACCCCGCCCGCCGAGAGCGCCCACACCTGGAGCTGGGTTTCGGCCTCTGCGAAAGTGAAATGCCCGAGCCTCCAGCCAAAGCCCAGACCAGTACAGTATGAACTGTCCTATGAGACTGAGGGGCTCAGTTTCATTCCTCCTTGCCCGCAAAGCTCGCCCCCAGTCTCGAAAACAAAGCTACTGGTCTGACGCGGGGTCCCTGCGCCCCTCCCCCAGCGCGACAGGGCCCACCAGAGAAGAACCGGTACCCGTGGAATGTCACCCCGTCCCCATCTACCGGGATGGGGGGCCTGAAAGGAGAAAGATTTAAAATAGTCTTCAGAAAGAAAAGGGAGGAGGGAGCGGGTGACATATCGTTCACATAAACCCAATTTCTGGTTTCCAGTGAAGTCAGGATCTCCGCCCCTGCGCCTGCACACCTCCTGCCTAACATTCTCAGCTCCAAATGCCAAAAACTAAGGGGGGGAAAAAAAAACCAGCAAAAGTTGGGACTGCCACCTATTTATTTAGGGAATCTCCAGCCCTACACACCCCAACCCCGCTCTCGGACTCATTGCTCATTTCAGTGATGGTTGTAACCGTTCCCAGCGCCTCCTGCGGGTGGACCGGTAGCGCTAGGGTCTCCCTTGCTGCCTCAAGAAGGCGAGCTCAAGGGACTCTAGGTTTTAAAATGGGTTCCAAAGCGGCGCGCTCTGTCGGCCCAGCGGGCTCGCGGCACCAGAGGTGGTCCGCAGCCGCGCAAGCATTCCCACGGTCGTTCTGGGCTGGTGCAGAAGCTGGTGCTCCAGTACCCAGCGGCCAGCAGGCTCGGCGAGGCACATCTCCCCACCCCACCCCCACACACCCCCGTGGAGTGCGTCGATCCTGTAGCTTAGAGGGAGAAGCTACTTAGAACTTCTTGAACCACAGAGGATCTGGAGCGAGCCCCGCAGCTGGAAAGAGTGGTCTTAAGTTGAACCCGCTTACAGTAAGATGCAGCCGAGATCACAGCGAAGTGTGGGGGCCCGTCTCTAAAGCCGAGAAGGGAACCGCTTTAGAAAGTGGCGTGGGGGGAAGAAAGAAAGAATGAATGAATGAATAGAAAGAAGAAGGAATATTAAAGATCGGAGAGGAAGTTGAAGAGAGAAGAGTTTTCTCTTTCCTTTCTGTTCCTGGTGACTTGGGCCCTCAGAATCTCGATGAGGATAACACGAGGAGTGCACAGGCAAGTGCCCAGTGGCCAGCAATTGCTTCAAAAGCCCATGTTCTTCTCTTCGCCCCACTCTTAGGCACAGCCAAAATTGGTCAGAAAGGGGAGTAAAGTGGGACACGGGCTTCAAAGTAGGGAAACCAAAGAAGGGAGCATCCACGTCCTCCCTCTCCAGCTTCTCCCCCGCGTTCTTCGGGCGAATCCGAGGGGCGGGCGCTGCGCTGGGGAAAGTTTGTCCCACCCGCGTTTCGCAGCTGGTTGCAAGGAGAGGAGGAGGAGAGGGAGGGTCGAGCTCGGAGCCTGTGGGCGCAGGGATGATCGAGCCGGCGTCGCGCTTACCTCGCAGTCCTCGTACTTGATATTATCTGTCAATTTCCAAAGCATTTTCATGGATCGGCGTGAACGGATATGCCCCTCTCCGTCTCGCACGCAAGTGGAGCTACTCTGGGTAAGCGCAAAGTGCTGGCTGCCGGCGGTGAGCGCAGGAGGAGGAGGAGGAGGGAGAAGAGGTGGAGGAGGAGAAGGAGGAGGGCGAGGAGGAGGGCAAGGAGGAGGAGGAGGAGGGCAAGGAGGAAGAGGAGGGCGAGGAGGAGGAGGGCGAGGAGAAGGGCGAGGAGGAGGAGAGAAGGGAAAGAGCTCCCGTGTGCGCTCGGAGATCTCCCTCTAATGGTAGAAACTTTTCCCTTTTCCAGCTCTTTACCAACAGCCTAATCGCCTCATTAGCATATCAACAATAGTCCAATTGCTCGCCAGTACCACAATCTGCCGCCGGCCGCTCCGACACAGGTATAAAGGCCTCTCTACGCCGCGAACTTGCTTCTAGAGCGCACTCTAGCCTGCGAACTGATAAAACCTTCCTTGAGCTCGGCCGCGAGCCCCTGTCCCAGCACCACCTCTCTTACCCCAATTCCGCCACATTCCCCTTCCTTTCTCTCTCTGCTTCCTTTTCTCCAGAGATGCCTTCTGCAAAGCCCGGCACTGCTCAAAGTCCAAGCCGCCGCGCCTGGGGCCCGGCTTCTAGCACTTCTCCCTTAACCCTACTACCACGATCCAAGCTGCCCTTTTGGCCCCGTGCAATTTTATTAGAAATCATTATCCCTTTCGCAATTAAACATAACCACCAAACCAAGACCGGGGAAGTCACTCCAAAATTTTTGCCCAACAAGGGATCGCCTCCGCTTGCGGCAGCCACCCCCTCGGGCCGCAGCGCCTTGGGAGTTTTATTGGCTTTGAGCTTTCCCCCAGGTCGGAGATTCTGCCAAGCGACTCCGGTGGCTCTGCTGGGGTTTGCAATCCCTTAATTGCGGCGTGTAAAATAAAAGTTGTACCCTGAAGAGGTTACTTGACAGCTCCGGGGGTTAACCAATTTTCTTTCCGTTTGTGTGAAGCTAGGGCCAACTGACAGTTCAACTTGGTGTTCAGGCTAAGGTTTCCTAGGTGCGACTTGGACACGAATACAGAACTCGTATGGAACTGCACACCCGCTTCTGAAGTTGAGGCGAAATACAGACATGTGTGTGCCTGCAAGTCTAGATACCGTCTCATGCATGCATCAAAATAAATCACCGGGAACCGACTCTTAGCTGTGTTAATCTGCTCTAGTTTTCCCAAGATTCCCCTTTTTAATTAAAGCAGGGAGAGTTCCTTCATGATTTGGTGATGCTACTAACGCAGGCGTGCTCGCGAGGCAGAGCCCGGCTGCCGCGCAACCTGGAGGCCTGGGAGCCACCTCCTCGTCCAGATTGGTCAGTCCGGGCTTTTGGACTCCTCACAGGAGCCTGCTGGCTCCTCCGGGGCTTTTATCCCTTTCGTTTTTGGGATTTTTTTTAAGTAAGAAAAAAGAAAAGAAAAGGACCTAATGTGACACTATGAAATACAGAGTAATTAATTTTCCTGGCTGAGCTTCCTCGTTTGTCCTCCAAAAGAAAGTTACCTCTGTCTTTTCTCTCTGCTGTATGTGCAAACTCCTTAACTACACTAGGTCCCACCTCAGAGTTGCTCCAGTAAGGACCTTTGATTCATCTGGGCTTGTTTCTCGAAAACCTCCAGGCCTCCCAGGTTTCCACCGGGAGTGCCTAAAAGGGGATGGGAACTGTGGCAGATGAGAGCATTTCCACACAGGTGGAAGGAAGGCAGGAGCTGGGAGAACTCCCCATTCCACCCAAAGCTGCAGAAGGGGAATTCTCCCTCCAAACACCCCAGCGAACTCCCCAAACCTAGCAGAGTAGGCAGAAGGCTCCAAAAAGCTAAGGAGAAGCCAGAGCTGGCAAGGGGCCTCAGAGCCCCCAGGGAGCCCTCCGCATGCTCTGGGCGCTCCCTAGCCCCACCTGAACTGAGCACAATCCCTCGGCTGAACCGGACTGGAGACTTGGCGCCGCCCTCCATCCAGAAAATGGTCGACTTTCCAGGGCTAGACCCTACAGGGCGGTCCCAGCCTGTCGCCAGTGCAGGGGTTTGAAGTCAGGATCTGGGCTGCCAGGGGCACCGACACCCTCCCAGCAGCAGCCACAGCCTGAGCAGGCCAAATCCTAGGCCTGAGAGCATGGGTTTTTACACTTCGTAGACGTCGCCGCGGTGTGCGTAAAGGAACTCCAAGTTTCGCTTTCTTGCCCTCTGCGGGCTTGGGAAGGCCGCACTCCATCCTCTGCAACCCCATTTCAACCCCCTTCCCACGTCCCCGCTGCCCTGCGCAGGACAGATCTCCGGCTCCGCACCCGCCGGGGATGCTAAACTGTTGTTGTATTCCCGCTGAGGGCGCCATTGAGGTGCAGATTGGGACCTGCGGACTCTGGACTGCCGCCCCCGGTGTAGACGCTGATGAAAGGCCCGGGCGAGCGCCAGGGTCGCCTCTGGAGCCAGCCGAGCTGCATTTGTGCCAGCGTCATTACCACGCTAAGTCGCTTCATTGCATGTCAATGCTCCGGCAGGGCCAGAACCCCGGGACAGCAGCGCCAGGCCTGGGGTTGGGCGTCGGAGATCCAGGCCTGATGTGAGGGCCATAAAAAGGGCGTCGGGGGGAACAGGGAGTGTTTGTGTGAGAGACAGAGTCACAAAGAGAAAGAGACAGTGAGAGGCCAGAATGACTCTATTTTCTCCGATTGCCAATGCCCAGTGGGAGCCGGGAGTCCAACAGGCCCAGCCCAGCAGATTCGGCCCCTCCGGGCCCCAAATTCGCTCGCCCCACCCGAGATCCAGGCCTCCAGCCACTTGCCTAACTGAGCCCGCAGGAGCCAGGCCCGCGGCTCCCTCCTTCCTCCTCCTGCGGCAGTCTCGCGGCTTTCAAACCTTAGTGGAACCCACAGAAGGCCCAGTCCCAGGTCAAAGCTACTCAACAGGCACCTTCTCACTGCCTAGGAGTTCTCCAGCGAAATTCACTGGAATTTGAGGAGAAAACCCTAAGACTGCTACGAAAGGACTCCCCCAGTCTTCAGCCTCCAAATAAGAGAGTTAGGAAGGGCCTTCAGCCCACAGGGGCAGGGAGGGAGAGGTGTGGATTCCCGGATTTGCGTCCTTAAACCACAGGTTCGTCTAACCTCACGGATGAAATACCATTTAGTGAGGATTAACTAGGGGGAAGAATATAAAAGAGTTCACTCTTGATAAAAGTAATAAATACAAGGGAAAAAAGTACAGAACGCAAAAGGCCTTTCTTTCTCCAACTCCAGGTAGCTTAGTGAAGACTGCACTTCTCAGAACTTTACTTTTAATGGCCTAAATCTGAAACAAGAGAAAGAACTCGACCAGGAGTAGCAAGGCCTGAGATTTTTTTTTTAGGAGGGGGGGAAGTTCAGGGCATTAGATTCGAATTGTCCCCCCGGGCTTTTGGGCACACAGAATCTCACCCTAACCAGGCCTCTTGGTTGGGGCGAAAACAGGGCCTGGCTGTTCTGATGATGAAATCGGCAACAGGCAGAGCCTTTTACCGCCACCAACCTGGCCAGAGCCGTACTGTTTCCCGAAGGGAAAATGTCTGGAAGTTGGACGAAGGGCGCGGGACAAATGCTTCCTTGGCCGGGATCAGAATCCCGGGCCCAGGAAGGACAGGAGCCAAACCTTGGACCCCTTGGGGTGCTCGCGGCCTAGCAGGGCCAGGTTCCGCAGGCATTGGTTTTGGCAAATTCGCGACCCCCCTGCCTCCTCACCCACCATTCACACACTCCGTCATCTGTAGCCCAGGCGGCAAAAACCCATTTCAGGAAGTGGAGAGAGTTGGTAGCTAAACTTCGGGCAAACTTCTTATCTCCCAAAGAAACATGTTGCCTCCGCGACCCAGTCATCCGGCCCCCTTTCCATTCTTCATACATTCTACATCTCCCGAAACCTGGGGGTACCAAGAGAGACAGGTGCACCAGAACCTGCCCAACACTCCACGCTGGGGTCTAGGGTGAGGCCGCAGGCGCAGGGGGCTGGAAACCTTCACCGCCGCGCACCGCAACCCCAGGCCTGCGTCCTCCCCCCTTCCGAAATAGTCATCCTCCCAAGTTCCTGCTCGAGGTGGGAGGGGGTGGGGGAACCGGCCACAGCACAAACCACAAGTGACCCACCAGGCCACCTGTGGAGCGTGCGCCGGACTTTCCTGGGCGCCGGGCCCCGCGGGCGGCGCGCTTTGCCCCCAGCACCGCAGCCGCTGCCTGCGCTCGTTTTTCCTGTCTTCGCTGTCTCCTGGGAGTTCTCCTGGGCGCTGCCACGCGCGCTTCACCTACGACTCCCGTGCCCTGGGCCACGGCGCTTCCTTTCCTCCTCCCCACTCCGGCCCCCTCCCCTACTCCACCTCCGCCCACCTCAGCCCCAGCCAAGGCAAACCCCCCGTACCTGCCAGTCCCCCATTTTGGCAAGTATGGACATCGCGGCTCGGCGCTCCTGGCGACTGGTCCCCGCCGGGCATGGGCTGGAGGGCTCGGCCGGGCCCGCTCCCTGGAATCGCTTAGGCAAATCCTCCTTTTTTACCTGCTCACCAACATCTCACCTGGTCATAAAGAGCTGGGTTGCTACCTGCCGACGCATGCGCGCTGGCCCAGGAATTCACTCCGCCAGCTGCAGTCCCAGCGCCTCACGGAGCTGACCTGGGAAGTGATGGATTTATAGCCGCGGCAATCTTGCCATCAGCTCCAGCTTTTCCCAACAGCCCCAACCCGCTTTCCCGGTCAGTCCCTGGCCCGGGAACCGAAGCGGACTGACTGCTGGATGTGCTGGGTGCGATGCGAGTGTGAGTGTGTTTTCGCACTCCAGTGGTAGGGGCATCGACAAGCTCGACCCCTGGCTCCCCTCCCCTCGGAACTTTCGAGTTGGGGGAGTCTCCACTCCCGGGTGGGGGTCGGAGGTTGGGGAAGGGCTACACCGGTGGAAGCGTCCAGACCCGATGATCCCCGCTGACCTGGACACAGTGGGGATGGGTCGCCGTCCCCGCCTCCCCACCCGCCCACGAGGTGCAGGGCACGACTGGCCTTAGCGGATCCTACTCTGCCACCCCCGGGGCCACTTCAGCGTTAGATTCCACATGAAACTGTTGCTCAATAGGTGAAGACGTTCATGATTCTGTGTCACTTCTGGCTTCTAGGTTTAGTCTCCTCCCATCGTAGAGAGAGAGAGAGAAACTCTACACATACATACACACACTCACACACTCTCTTACACGCTCACACTGAGCACTTCTGTACAAAGGTCCACCCCCTTCTTCCCACTTTCACAGTTCCCTTCCCCTCTCCCTCTTTTCCATTTAGAACTATTTAAAGGAAGAATGGGGGCGTTGGTGGCTCTGGGATGAGCAACTGAGGTTTGGTTTAGGGTTTGCTTTCCCATGACAGATAAAATCACTGAAGTGATTTCACCGCTGCTTCTAATTAGAGGGGAGCTTTAAAAGAAGCCACAGGATTTGGGGCTCCTGGAGCTCACCTCCCTCAGGAACCTCACCTGGCCGGCAGGGAGGTGAGGGTGAGGAGAATGGCCTCGGGCCACACTCTCCCAGAGACGGTGCCAGTCCCATTCCTGCGGCCATGAGATCGAATTGTCCTGGGTGTGGGCCTGGGGCTCCTGGGGCAGGCCCAGTTACCCTCCCAGGCTGCTGTAGCTGGGACTTGGAGACGAACAAAGAACCAGTTTTAAATCGTCTCCTCTGACATGTCAGGCAAATATGTGTAAAAGGTCAGCTCCACGCTGTGGAGCAGAGACCTGTTCCCCAGGCACCAAAGCCTCCCCTTTCTAACCTTGCCCGAGAACCTCCGACCCCCGGCCCTGTCCAGGCGGCTTTGCACCCTCTCCGCGTTCCCAGGGGTGGGGTGGAGGTGCCTCTCCCTGGAGTCCTCTTATAGCTTCCGCATTTTATTCATCCCTGGGCTACAGGACTTTCATCCCAGTACCCATCCTTTAGTTGATTTAAAACTTTCTGGGACCTGCCTTAGAATCTTGCTCAAGTCTGGGGGTTTCTGTGGGTAGCTTTTTTGGTTTGTTTTGTTTTGGTGAGAATGTAAATAAATAAATTAGATGACGTTTTTAACTAATAAGTACACCTTCCCTGGCTTCTTCCAGAAAGTGGAAATATAGGGCGGTGACTAACTTTTCAGAGTGGAAGACACTCACGACGGGAGCTCCTGCAGCTTTCCGGGATTCAGGCGGAGGTCGCTGTGCTCTCTTAAAAGTGAGCGGCGGTTTCAACCTGCGGTCGCTTCGCCTCGCCGGCGCGGGGGAAACACTGGCTGGAGGCGACCTCGGGCCCAGCCGGACAGGCCGGGCCGAGCCTAGGAAGGGCTGGCGGGCGCGTCCCAGGGCCAGGGTGGGGCTTGGGGAGCGCCGTCTCCACCCTCGGTACTTTTGGGGTGGGGAACCTGAGCGTGCGGAAAGCGGGAGGCAGAGCTGAGAGCGGGGTTAAGCGCGAAGCTAAGGCACCGCATAGGGTT